ACAAAACAAACAAAAAAAAAAAACAAAAAACATCATTTCTCAGAAGGATCTTTAGGGGAGGGACAGTCTGAGTTGGTTTTCACTGGGCTGGTATTGTCTGAGCCTGAAAATGGAACTCAGAGTGCTGGGCCCTGCCTCTCTGGTCCTTAAGCGGGTCAAGGCATTGCATTGCTCAGCCGCACACCAAGGCTATCAGAGGCCAGGGCCCAGAATTGTCCCTAGGATTTGAGGCATGGACCAGCAATCTTCTCGTGACTGGCTCAAACTATGCTGGCAACAAAAATCTCTGTATCATGGGAAAGGTTTTATATATAAAAAACAATATACTTGAGGCCTGTGGTGGCTTTTTGTAAAGTAGCCCCCGTGAGCTCTCTGGGGTCTAGTAGGTTCCTGCACAATAAGCTCCTCTGCCTCTGATCACTGACCCTTCTCTAGAGGCTGATCTCTGGAAAGAAGCTGATGCTACTCAGTGGATAAGAGGTTTTACATGGAGCTAGTGGCCAAATAGAGCATTTTCCAGACTGGTCATTTACAGATATAATAAATGTGAACAAAAACAATGTCAATGTCAAAACAGAACACAGGGAAAGGGAACACTGTGGGGAGGAAGTAAAGGTGCAAACCTTGTGAAGACATAATCCTGCTTTTGGGAAACCTTGAACAACACCAGTCTCTCTATTTCCATCCTCCCTGTTGACATAGAGCTTTAGGAGTTAGGCAACTTCATTGTTTTGGCTTTTAGTTGAGGTTGGGAAGTGACAAAGGGGACTGAGAGTTCATGGATATGAGTTTCTGTAGATTTGCTATTTGCTGTTGATCTGGGAAAGTCAGTGTACCTGTTTTCTTACTAGTAGAGAATGGGGATGACAATATGGCCTCTGTATTGCCCACCTCTTACTTCTCAGAGTTCTAGTAAAGTTTTTCCAGTGTTACTAAGCACAGGCTGTCATACAAATGGCCACTGTAAGTCAAGACACTGAGCAGAAGGTTGTGGGCCTGAGACACAGGTCTAGTAGCTGACTGATAAATTTCC